TAAAACTTCGTATGTTGATTCATTCCTATGAACTACTGCTCTTATACCATTTCACGTTATGCGTTGAACCTGGGTGTGACTTAACGGTTATAGACATTCCACATCTGTAGTAAACAACTTTGGTTCTCTGACGTAGGAGCATTAAGAACATACTGCTTCGTGTTTCGTGACTTAGGCATAAATGACGTAGAACGAGTCATCCACTGTCATTGTGGAAGATATGAGAACTAAAACAAGAATCCTTCGGTCGAAATTGTGCATCCATGATGTAATAAGATAGATTGGGGTGGCTCTAGGAGACGCTGTTAGCCTCAAGTTTTCCGTCAACTTACAATTGTAACAAAGTCGAGAGCTTTGGAAGGAAAAATTCTTTATTCGTCTCGTTATTTTCTGTTTGCATTGCCAAAAACGACTTAGCTTGCAGCACGATAGACTGGCTTTCAATATCCTTTGGAGGTGAAGCTTCCGTGCATAATCAGAAAAGTCGTTTTAGCCGCTCTGGCCTGATTTTTTTGTCATATATTTTTGTCTGTGTTAATCCATGATATTTAGTGTTGACAATAGGTAGCTTCGCCGTAGGCATTTGCTCCGCAGTAGCACGGTGTGTATAGCTGAGTTGGGTGTTAACGCGGAAATGCAAAAGTAAGGTATATGCTAGTTGACTATGTTAATGCCCCCTTACTACATCTCGACCTGCAGGCAAATGCACAGCAGCCAGAGTTGTATGAGCAGCCAGACAAAGACTTCATGGTGGTTTCACTAGACTTGCTGAGCGGAATCGCAGAGGGCCTTGGGAACCACATTGAGCCATTAATGGCAAACAGTAACCTCGTTACGCTGCTTCAACAATGCGCTCAAGACCAGCAGCCTGACGTTCGTCAAAGCACTTTCGCCCTTCTTGGTGATCTTACTAAGGTCTGTTTCAGTCATATCAAGCCCCAAGTGGGTGCTTTTATGACCGTCCTGGCGCAAAATCTTTCTTCTCCCAATATCTCTGTTTGTAACAATGCCATTTGGGCTATTGGGGAGATATGCATGCAAATGGGTGAGTCTCAATTGACATTTTTTTAAATTTCTTGACAATTTGACCTGCGGCTAGGTTTTATTAGATGCTTTGTGTTCTCATTTTCCTAAATCGTTATTGTCTAAGTTGCTTACAGTATCTTCCGCATTGTTGCCTTTCGTTCATCGGCTGCACAACTTCTACATTGGAAGTGCCTAATAGGTTCACACAATTATTTTAGGATGCTATCATTTTTTAATCTTTGTTCTAACAACTAATATATTAACTTTTTTGCCAGCCTATCGATTTTAGCTATGTTGCATTTGCCTTATTTAAGGCCGTAGTTTCTTGCTAGTCCTTCCTATTTAACCCTTACCTCCTCATGATCATCTGTTTTGCATTATCTTCATCTTGTTCAATGCACATTTTTTATCCTTTAAGGGGTTTCTATACACACTTAGTAATCTTAATTAGAACTGGAACTGTTTTGGCTTAAGAGTTTGCTGGCGAATTATATTGTTTAACTGCAAGTCTACGGCTGAACTCAATGTGATCTATGCCATCTGCTTATTTGTGCTACCCAGCTATCACAGCCTATCTCCTCCTCCACTGTTCTATGCACATTAGTTCAAGTAGACTATTCTCTATATGGGTCTCTTTTTATATAATAAGAATTTTAGCTCCAACAGCAACTGTGCGTAACATATTCTCTACCTAGGTGACGAAATGCAGCCCTATGCTTCACTCTTCATCCAACCTTTGGTGGAAATCATTAATCGGCAAAATGCACCAAAGACGCTCCATGAAAATGCTGGTAAGTTTGAGTGATCAGAAGGCCTGACTTGGTTGCCAAGGTGTGAAATACTTGGGTCTGTATTTCGATGACAAATTGTAAGGTACCGGTTAACTTTGGGTCGCCTATACATTACTTCAAGGAGTTACTTAAGGGGCAGCCCTGCACTGAATATTCATTTAGCATTGTTGAACTTAATTCTACGCCCACTCAAGATAAATGCTTCCCCTTAAGAGGTAAATCTAAGATTATCTTAGTATCCGTTTGTGATAACATGAATAATTTCATGGGCGCAGCTCGAGTTTTTTTATTTATCTACCAGTCATTTTGCCCTCATATTGGATTTAGTGTTGGTGTGTAAGGTGAATTACTCGAATCCTTAACTTTACTCAATCTCACGGACACGAACACCAAGTGTCGGATCAAATTTTTTTGTAGGTGAGCTGCTTTCGCACATTATGTAAACGACGATCACCGTATCACATTAGAACGAACTTGTATGTTCACCTTCATTGGGCTGCAGCTGTATTGTGTATATGCCCCAACTCCAGCATCCGATTTGCTTAGCGGGTCATCTCTACTTTCCATCCTTCTTCATACCTTTAGCTATCACAATCGGACGTCTAGGATACGTGTGTCCAAGCGAGATCTCCTCCTTCCTGTCTCTCTTCATTCGTGCTTGGTGAGCTATAGTTAACAGCATTTTACTCATGGCATCGCTACTTTTTTTATCATCTCAGTGGAGTTCACTGGTCATGGGTGATGGGTTAATGGATGGATAAAAGTGATTCCAAGGTGAGGCATGCGTCTGTTACGGGCTCTCCGCATATCTGCATGGGTAGATGGGTGTTCAATCATGCATCTGAAAGTACTCATTTTTACCCTAAGTGACGATTCCTATTTGATTTTCTTTGGGTGTGTGCATAACTTTTCTTATTAAGCTTCTCATTGCCTTCCGGAGCGAATGCCAAATCTTATCCGTCATTCCTTTACAAAGTAGTCAATATTTGTTTGTAATTGATAGCTATAGTAGTATTTTTTGTCCGAAATTTGACGACGGCACACGGATAATGTAATCTACTTTGGCCATACTGGATACCTTTTTGGAATTCACAGGTGTCTGTCCCTTCGCAATATCCGTGATAATGAGGAGAAGGATAGTGCGTTTAGAGGCATCTGCAATGTAATAACGCTAAATCCACAGGGTGTGGTGAACGAATTCCTCTTCTTCTGTGATGCAGTCGCCTCATGGAACAATCCCAAGGATGATTTGAAGCAAAAGTTTTACTCGGTATGTGGGTTCTTTAGGCTCATAATGGGAATTTTGCAGAATAGTTGTTAGGATTTTGGGCTTGAGTTATGATTATGGCGGTATTCCATGTAAGCATACAGCTGAATGCTCAGAGAAGTTTCATTTTTCACTGTTCTTTTTAGATTCTGGTAGCTTTTAAGACAGAGGTTGGTGAGGAGGCATGGAGCAAGTTTTGGGCTCAGTGCCCACCGATGCTGCGCAACCGATTGAACAGTCAGTACGGCCTCTAGATGTATAGAGGTGAGTGGTGACCAGGAGGGTAGGGACGTCGGGTTTTGCCGTCGTTCCCTTACAGTTGCCGCTGCTTCTGCTGCTGCTGTGCCGCCGTCGTCGCCACACTTCACACTTCTTTCGCTCATTATCAATGCATCTGCCTGTTGCCCTCCGTCCGTCCGTCTGCTCGTTCGCTTTATTGTCTCTTTCTCTGTCTTCCTCCATCTCCGTTTACCATCGCATTTTTTCGTTAACTCGGAGTCCTGGTTGCAGCTATTGTTGTTGCCACCAGGTTGGTTTCCGGTTCCCTTTTTTTCTGGCACAGACTTCACTGGTAGAGCTTACACTCTTTAAAGGCAGTACTGTTAAGGTTGGGGACACTGGTACGTTCATTTTGCAGTTATTTATACGCTAGTAGGTTTTGCAACTTGTTCATTTAGAGCCTCGCAACCCCTCGACATCAGAACCAACTGAGTGCCTAACGGGGAAGCCTAGCCGTATTCATCTGACAATCACGCTCACGAACACACACATCTTCCTCCATTCTTCGCCCGCTTGCTTTTTCGTCGCTTCTTTTGTTACCGTCACAACTCATTCGTACACGCAAACACACGTAATCTTGTACTTAGTTTGCTGGTCGTTTTACTTGTCTCTGTGCGTCAGTCAACTCGTTCTCTCTTCTGGTAACCCTTCAACTCTTGGTCGTTTTTTGTGCACGCAGAAAGACTAATACTTTTGGCTGATTTCTCCCCTCACTCTTTCCACACACCCTCCACCAAGGTCATTTTCAACAATAACATACAAGCGCACACGCCTCAATCACAGGCATTTTAAGTACATGGGGTAATAATTAGGGACGGGATAGTTAGGGGGTCACAGTAAACACCGCACAGCACAGCACGCACACCCCGAAGCCACTTGCTCCTCCAGGGCGAGACGCAACGGGCAGATGTTGCATGGGATGATTTTAAGGGGTAATCCAAATCAATAGGCACTCACACAGGGGATAAGGAGATTTTAGGGAAAACTGTAGATTAAGGATTAAGATTTAGTTATACATACATGTCTTCATACATTGCTGAACTTGCACATCAAATCACTACACTCCACCATCATCACTTCGCAATCCTTATTCATATGTATGATTTCGCTCGCCTCCATCCATTGAAACCCTTTCCAAGTAATCTTCCCTTCTCCCTCTATTTTTATCGGCGACAATATCGCATGTTTTCACTGCGTTGTACATTTGTTGGATTTTTTGGCGAAAAAAGCTACCCTCTTCAAATGTCTAGCTTTTGTGTTGTCGCCAGTTGGGATTTGAAATTTCCCGAGGCAAAGTGGTTATTAAGGGGCGGAAGTCGTTTTTGTTTTCATTTCATCGTTGGTGTGACGCCACGGTGCACCAGGCCACTGGCAATATGCGACTTTTTCCTGTTGTGTTGGCTTTCCTCCCTCTTGTCTGCGATTAACGCAGCAATTGAATGGGGATAGTTGCATTCGGTATTTGTTGCGCCTGCGAATTCTAAGTCTTTTTTATTCCGAGCCGTTTAGCGCTGCGCTAGTATTGGTTCTGCTGTTGCTCGAGAGGTGTCATGCTTAGTACATTTTTTGTTCAAGGGAACTTAGTCATTGCTCTTTTGTGTTTTATTTGATGAGGAATATGTTCGAAATGAAAGCAAATCCATCTTGTTTAACTTAATAGCCACGAGGTGGCGCTGCTGGCTTGTTGTCGTGCCTTTAACTTTCATGTCTGCCAACTTTCGAAATCGCATATTAAAGCTTCATTACCTCGTTCCTCGTGCCTTGTCATTGGAGGAATCGAGATTTGGATTGTGCTGAGGAGTTAGCTAGTTTGCAACGTGATCGTTGGCGGCCGATCATTTAAATGAAGGAAACGGGCTTTGCATCCATTCTCGTCTGAGATAATTGCTACTTATTTGGCTGTGAACAAGACTTGCCCAAGAAGGCTGCGCAAGGTTAGTCAAACAAGACCCATCTGAACAATTGGTGCCAAACAGTTTCTGGTAACAAACCATCATCTACTTTCGTTTACCGGTCGTTATTGTAGGCTTCGCCTGCTTAAAATTGGAAAATTAACAGCATGAACCGCCGAGCATCTCTATGGGGACGCTTGACTTGGGTTTGACACCGTTCCAAGCTACGCTAGTTCACTGGCTAGCTGATTGCATGGCGCATACTCGGGATTTATCAAAATGTCCTTTGAATTTACAGTATGTCACATGGTAAAGTGGCTCGCTTTCATCCACTGACGCTAGCCTAATTTGCATTATTCTCTTGAGTCATTCTATCTGCGAAGTAACACCCTCCAAAACTGACTTCAGTTCCACAGCATATGACTGTCTCATCTGAGTCTTCCCATGCGGTGAGTGGTCGAGCACATCTACACTCATCGATGCTTTTGCAATTTTTTGACCACATTTAACTAGACTTCTCGAGCTAACATAACATTTTTCACATATCACGAGTCGCACCAATCCTGTGAATTCATTTTTGGTAGGAGTACCAGTTAGTCAGGACACAGCTTTTAGTCGATCTTCAGTTAGTTATGCCACAATATGCATTTTGCGTCAAAGCATGCGTCGCTAAATAATGTGAAATAGTGATTTAGTGCAGACCACCTTTCACTACAAGGGTCAGGTGTTGCACTGCTGGTCAAGACGTCTCAGCGTACAATACATCCGGCTCGTCCATAGTATTAAAACGAAAACAGTGATTACTGTTTTGCGCCAAAGCTATATCATTTGAGCAATTACTATTCTGTAGAATGTTTTGAGCTCTTCCCTGATGAAGCCACTGTTGTTGAGTCGTGGGCACCGATACTGTGAAAAGGTTCGTCAGAGATTATGCATTCAACAGACTCGGTGCATAATGCTTGCCACACATTGCATAACTTTATGTTTTGTAATTGAGGAATAGGAGCAGTGCAGAAAACGGC